TCTCTCCAAAACTTTTTGATGCATTTTCCCAAAGTTTTGAAAAGACATTCATGTTATTTATGAAGCCTTTGGTAAGCCCCCAGCTTTTTATTTTTTATCTTGGCAACAAAGGAATGAAATGAAATTTGCTACACCCTCAGGATGAATAGTATTTATGTTAACATCAGCTGATGGCAGTTAACCTCAATACCAGCCCTAATCAGCCAATTGCTCAGCTGACACCCTTCCAACTGGTAAATCTCATATAGAGTGCGCTATTTAAGTTGCTTTAGAGTCCTTCCAGTCGCTGCACTTTAATAGTAACTCTCCAGCTGCTCTCCCTGCTTCAGGCCCCTCATGTCTGCAGATGGCTGTGTAGCCAGGTGTAATCTCCTCTCTGAAATAATGTTAATCGAATATAGCCTTAGTTATATTCGCTGACTTTATCTAAAAGGGCATTTGAAAAGTGAAGCTAGTGCAGAAGTGCTGTAAACATGTATTCTTCCCAGTGGCCTGAAGAGGCTGATTTTTCTAGATACAAATGAAATCTGCTTATGTAAAAGTCTATGTGATAATAAAACCTTGCTAAGCTCTGTCCTCATGAGTTTTAATTGCAAGATTCATTTAATACAGCTACATCACTATGGTCCCTGTCAGAATCACAATGAACCAAATAGCAAGACTTTCTTTTAAAAAGCAAGTTTTGGGTTGTTTTTTTTGCTACCACATGAGCAAACAGTAGTCCTGGGTTTCTTAGTCACACCCACACCTGACTAATCACTTTGGGTTTCAAAGTATCAAGAGTGCAACTGTCAAACAGCAGCACATTAATCACAGTGGATATCAACCATTTAGTACAGTCTGTGGTTATACTCAGTATTTACTGCAACTAATCAAATGTTACCCTGCAATCACGTTAGCAAGGTGTCGTCTTTATTCAACCAATAATAGGATAAGATGGTTAAGATTTGTGGCCTTTTCACTTCTGTTTTAATTGGAGATTATTAAGCGAATACTGTCAACGACTTCAGTTATTCCGAACTCCTGCAGGGTGAACTGGGCGTAACACTGCCCATGACTCCATTAGAATTTACTGCAGCCATAGGGAATTAGAATAATTTCTGTGTAAGCTGGAATCACTGGGATCATGTTTTTTTAGCATTAGTTGAAACAACATCTGTTCCTACAAATGACTCTTGTTTAAAATGTGCGTTTGAAGGTACTGACTAACAGCACTGGCCTTATTCTTTATCATTATGCGTTCATTCCCTTAGAACATTAATCCCAGAGCTATTTTCCAGTTTCTTTTCTATCAGTATGTTGTTCCTGTTGTTTTTCTGCTGGTGACAACTACTGTTGGGATGTTTGTGCTTGACCCCTATCTTCATTATGTTAAATTTACAGTGCATCTCATATTTAAGATACAGAATTAAAATGGGAAGAACATGCTAATGCAGCAGATTTGTAGCTGAACAACAAACTTCTTTGCTTTAAGCTGGATTTCCTCCAGTCTAACTCCTGAGCCTTGTCTGCTGACCTACTTGCCACCAGCAGTGTTGCTGACTTTTATATACATACATACACCACTGGCTTAAGTTAATTCTTTGTAAAGAAGTGATGGAAATGTTTAAAAGTTTAGCCAGAGATGAGAAGAAATTGCAAGCTGTAGTTAAACTCAGATTAAGTTGAATTAACCAATTGTTGAGTGTGACAGCCGCTGACACAGTGATGACCTCGGGTTTCTGAGACCCGCCTTGAGACTCCTTCATCCCTCCTTGGTGTTTGTTTCCATGGTAACCCATTTGTGTGTATGATACCTAGCTGAAAGCATACAGGAAACATTAAAAATATATATTTGCTTGTATCTGGCTCTGACCTGAGCTTTAATTCATGTCTGTGCTGTGATGGGCTGTGAAATTCACTAGTTAATCTCTCTCTCTCTCTCTTTTTATTTTAGAAAATCAAATCAAAACAAGGCTATCCACAGTCTTTTCACAGTGAGATTTGAATGTGCAAAATATGACTCATGATACAAAAATGCATTAGCGCAGCCATATTTATTATAGTCCACTTTCGTCCTCTCTAACGGTGACAGAATATTTTTTGTTTTGCTGTTACGGCTGGGATTTTTTTCACCACTGACTGTTGTCTTGCCCGGTACATCTTTACTTTATTTTATTTACACACAGTCTTGTACAGTTAATAGAAATGTGATTTTCAATAGTGTTATACCGTATGCATAACAAATAATAGCATTTTGAATTGCTATGAGTGTAATAATGTTAGTATGTTCAGTCAGTTGGAGACTTAAGAAGATCAGATTCAGTTTTCCTTGTTTCCTGTCTAAACCCTAACAGCTCAGAGTCTTTGGTGTAAAGCAAAATCCCTACAGAATCTATCCCATCATATTCTTTCCAGCACAGTACAGCAAAAAACATGTTAATTTCATAATCAGTCGGTTTGACGTGTCTGTCATTCCTCTGTCCCGGTTGGTCTGTAGGAGGTCCAAGCTGCTGGTTGCCATGTTTTGTGGTCGAGCTAAGGTGAAGTTTGATTTTCAAATGTTCTGTATTTGTTTTGGACTCTCTGGTTCGGAACCTTTTTCCAATAATCTCGACACACCCTGGTTGATTTCATTTTATGGGAATTCCATGAAACCTGAGAACCTGGGTGAGCAGCACAGGATGAGGTTGAGGAAAATGTTATTCTTAGTGATGCAGCACATACGAAAACAACTTTAGCCGCTTCACAAGAGCACAGCCGATGGCTCATGAGCCCTATTCTTCTCTCCTAAGAACCAGTATGAATTCCATTTAAGATGGAGCGCTGATTTATCTACAGACACGTGTCTGTTAGGCTCGGTGAAATCAACACTGGTGGTAGATTTGAGATAAAACGGCACCACAAATTCCATCTGGGTGCCATTATCCGTCACTTGAAGGCCTGGGGCTGAAAATGATGAGTGATCTTCTGCACTGAGGGGAATCAGGCGAGAACCTACTGTAACAACACAAGTCTGTTGATTCGTGACTCCACAGTGCAATGAACAAACAAACCCCCCCAGGGCTTGTTTCCTCTCAGTAAGGCAGTTTTCTAAGAAGGAGGAAGCTTTAGGCTTTCATTTAGTTTTTGAGAACTTCTCATAAACAAAAGAAGAAGTAAGATTTTTCTTTTTAAACCCTTGGTCCTTAAGTTACCTCATTGGGGATTTTTTGGTAATCAATGAAATGAAGAGATCTTTTTATATGAATGGAAACTGGACTTCCTTCCCCAGAATGATTTCTGAGCTCTATGCTTGTGATTTTTGGCCTATGACTCTTAGTATGACATGTTTAATCAGTCTTTTCCCTTTTTACAAGACTTAAATATCTCAAACTGATGGATTATCATAAATTTACTGTTAGTGCAACATGTCTATATGCTGCTGAATGGTTATGATACTGTACTGAGCCATTCATTTTTTCCTAAATATGAAGAATAAAACTAGTAATATGTATGCACTTATCTAGTAATATAACAGTTTAACTAATATAGCGCATGTAATGAGTTTGACTTTACAGTGCCACCATCTGGTCAAAATGTGTATATTTCTAATGCTATTCAACAATATCTGCTACAGCTCTAATATTCTCCTCACCTTCAGCTGAAGTTTGTAGTTAGTGTTAAATGCTAAGTGGCAACCTGAGGCATTACACATTATCAGAGCGAACATGGTCAAAATGCTAAAAATGCCCATCTACAGCTTCACAAGGGTAGCTACTGTGGCATGGTCGTTTTCTGTGTGCTTTTCTGTTTTTCAGAGAGCAAGAGTCACTTTCCAGAAATGCTCGCTCCTCCGGGTGTTGCTGTGCCATGCACACTAATCATCTCCACGGAAGGATGAGTAAGAGTTCTAAACCATGGTGGCCTTATTGGCAGATACAGAGTGAGAGCAGGCAGAGACCCAGCTTGGGGTTTCGGGATGTCTCCTTTCTATCTCATGAGAGACACAGTCAGAAAGGAGGGGGAAATCAATCGCATTATTGGCTCATTTGTATTTAATTTACACCGTCAGGTGGTGTATCATCTTTAGCACTGCTCAGGAAAGCATGTAAGATAACATATTATATAAAAAAGGTATTCTTGCTTACTCTTTTCTAACCACACAAGAGGAATATCTGCAGCTTACTCACCAGAACCAAATATTCACCTTTTAGACACTTAAACGCTGCAGCCCAAGAAAAGCTGTAGTTTTTTGTTTGTGATGTTTTCAGAGTAGAAGTAATTGGTCTTTTTTGTGTGTGTCTTGTGATTTAAATCTTGCCACATGGCCTTGATTATCATGATGAATATCTTTCTGTCTGATGAGCAGAGCAAGCCCAGTTTGTTATTAATTGCACGTTAGGATTAACCTTCTGCTGCACGCACAGTGCCATCTTTTGGCAAAAACGGGTTTCTACATTCTCATCCCCGGAGTTCCCAACCCTGCGTCATCTGGTTATTGTTTCCAGTGATTACTCCTGCTTAAATCTGTTTATCCAGAGTATGTAAGGACAGATGATAGTTTATTTTGGAGTGACAATGTGCACTGAGCCTGAAAGTGTCGATTTAAACTGAAACATGATTCACTTTGTCTCAGAAAACACCAGACTAATAATCATTCCTTCATTCTGGGAAATGATGCTTTAACAGATGGCAGGAGTTATTTCAGGGTAACCCAGCTTGATGCATAATCAACCTCTTTCACTTCATTGAACTTTTTTTTTAAGTGCACTTTAAATTAATCTGAGTAAACTTGCAGGAAGGCAAATGAATGGAAACTACATGTACCTGTTACTAGGTGTTATATTCCTCTTTGTTTTTAGACTTAATTATTAAGTCTAAAAACATTTCTAATTTATAATTATTTGATATAAAGTTAAAAAATATATCAAATGTACTTGTTTTTAGGAAATGCCGACATAAGCACATTAAATTAAACATATTTATTTGGGACTGTAACAGCTGCTGTTTGTTTTTGTTTTTCAGAGTGGACAAGACATTCTCCAAGGCCAGAAGCTTATGGTACGTGTTCCTTCTGTAATAAATGACATTCCTTTTGTTTCAATAAGCAAACACAGCCAATTAAAGTTAGAAATCTTAAAGCTTTCTTCTGTTGATGATCAATGTCATTGACTCACACCACCTTTGTAATTTTTAAATGTGCGAATCAATGCAGTGAGTAGAGTTAAGTAAGATGAATGAGCCTGTAAAAGTTAGAGCAGATGGGCAGCGGCGGGGAAACAGATACCCAGTCCGCCCTGCCATCTCTGCAGTGCTGGCAAGGTTGGAGTGCTGCTGCGAGTGGCACATGGAGAGAGGCAGGGATCTGAGCATGCACACCTCCTGCCACTGCAGATACACGGCACCATTTCTGAAAGCTTTTAGGTGTGGTGGCATGAGTGTCTGGCCCTCGTCCCCCTCTGTCTGAATGCAGCACATTAAACAGTGCTCCACCATAGTATCATCCTGCCTTCCCTCTGGAATACAAATGCAGGAGGATATCTTTTACCAGCCAGGCCTGCATTACTCAGCAGTGGCTGAGCTTGTTTGCACAGGCTGTCGTCCAGCCATCAGCTGCTGCTGCCTGAGACAGAATGATTGCACCTCTTTGTAAAGAAGAAGAGTAAACTCCGGACCAAAATAAAGATGAAGAGGAGGATCTAAAACAGGACACAAAAGCAGCACTGGAGATAAAAGACTTCTGGGCGTGAAGAGGAGGGAAGGAGGGGGAAGCAACTGACTGGATGAGGTGACGCTGCAAATAGAAAATGTGGGGCCTGCATTAGAAAGCCTAGATACGATAATACAAGTTCATCAGTCATACTCGTTTTTTGGCAATCTTCTTCAAATCAGGGAATAATTCAGCACTGCTTGAAAAATTTGGTGCAAGTGTTTAAAGCTACTTTACATTAAGATCGCTGGTTATACCCAGCGGGGCAGATCATCTTTTATCAGCAACATTGGCGTTGCCTGGATAAAGCAACTGTGAAAGTGCCATCTGACAATCTTTTTTTTGAAATCGACAAGCACTGACAGTTCATGCATCCAACTGTATGTTGGACATGGCTGGAAATCTGAACTGTAAACTGTAAAAAAAAACTGGCAGCAAAACTTTAACAGAACTCAGCAAAATGCCGTGCTCACCTTTCCGAATCGGAAGGCCAAGAAAACTCTGGTGAGTTTCTGATTTACTTGACTTTAGATAATGCTGATAAGAACTGCATGATTCCCCAGCCGTTTGGGAAACAGATTTTAATATTCATACACAGGATTATCTTTGTTATCCTTCTGTTGTATTCATACTGTTTACAATATAGATCCAATGATTAGGTAGAATATTCTGTAATTCATGACAGGAGAGCTGACCGGATGCATTTAATATCACTAAGTCTTAAGATGAAGTCTTTCCACACTTGCTGCTGATTAAATCTTAAATGATCATCTTTCATCTGGTCATTGTGGGTCATACACAATAAGCTCATGATCCTCAAACCCAGTTTCCACACTCTGCAGGGGAGGCTTGTAATTGGTGATAATCCTGCCTTGCTAAGCTCCCTCGATGGGACGCAATGGGAGAGAAGGGTTAGTGTGGATAATGGCTATACTGAGATGTTGTATAAGAGTATCTCTCCTCTCTCGACTGAGCACATGTGAACATACATCCAAGTAAAAAGTGCACTCTGCTCTCCTGTCCCTGGAGCAGCATGGGTTATTGTAGCAGGCTGTGGGTTGTATAACTCGCTGCCCATTCTTTAAAACAAACCACAGATCCCACTCTCTCATCCATGCTTCAGCTCACCTGACCTTCATGCTGGACAGGTCTGCACTTTTGAACCACCCTTAGGTGCCACTTTTACTAGCAAGAAAAAAAAATCAAGCTAGAGAGCACTGGTCTTTGCTTGAAACGTGGAAAGAAACAAAATGAGTCTTTTATTCTTGCCCATTAAACAAGCTTTGTTTCTTGCAAAAACAGTCTTTAAATGCATCTCTTAGATTGATAAGCTTTTCACACTCATCAGCTATAGGGCAAAGCTTTATCTGCATTCTCTATAAATCTGAATTTAACATGAACATGAAAGGGATAAAATTACATTTACATATTTTTGCTCCGGCTTGCAGTGCCGTTTATTCATATAGATTGTTTCAGTGTGAGAGCTATTAGCCATAAAGATGTCTGTCTTCTCTGAATATAGTAAAACTAAATGGCATTTTCCATCCCTCCCTTATATTGCACCAAGAGAACAAAATACAGAATAAAAAAACAACAACAATAACAACTCAGCAGCCATGTCTTATGACCTAGTTCCTAAAAAAAAAATCTATAAACCTTGTTGTAAGCAGTTCCATGTAGGAACTACTATTTTCTCTATCCTGTACTACAATTGCCAGCTGTATCAGTGTGCAAATGTACATGTGATGGGAGGCTCATGGTAGTCATTGGGTGAGGGGATGTAAACAGTCTCTGATAAATTATAATGTAGTTCAGGAGACATAAAGTAGTGCCTACATGAGACTACTTGCAACAAGGTTTCAAGATGATTTTGAGTTTTTTATAAAATAAAACATTTTATAAAAAGGGGCAACTTAATCTAAAACAGTCTAGATCAATAAATAGCATAAATTAAAGATAGGAAAAATGTATATATTTGATTTCAAGCTGCCCTCTTGAAATCTATAAGATGATTTTTTTCAGTATGTGAAACATGATATGCAACTTGCAGAAGTTTGATTCTCGAGCTTGAGGATTTTTATATAATAATTTAATGCTCTGTATTTTTTGACCTGTTTGTTGAAGTTACTTTGTAAGCAAACTATATTAGACTTAAATTATCATTTCAATATGAGTATTTCATATGCATATTTAACAAAACGATGGAGCCTTGTTGTGTGTTTGTTGTCTTTTGGTTCCCTTATTGTTAGCCCTCTGGTGGCCAAAGTTAGTAGTGCATCGTTTTGGCACTTAATGAGCCCGTAAGTCAGGTAAACAAGTGTACTTGATGGGCATCTGTGGATGTTTTCCCCCGCGGTGATCAAATCTGCTTTTTACTGTTTTATTCATTTCTTCCTTTCTGCTGAATGACCTTGCTATATATTTCCAATTGTTTGATGTGAGTTCCTATTCTATTTTTATGATGCTTTCTAAATCCTAGGCCTATTTCATCCCTGCTGTCTTTTTGGGGGAGGTTAGCTTGTAAACAGTTAAGAGGTGTCATTGTAAACACTCCTCTGTTTGTGTACACTGATTTCCCAAGAGATGTCGCTCCTCATCATCGTCTGACTGTCTCCTTTGCACATGCGCTCACCGCTGCATTGTGAAAACGGTCTCGGTGTCAGCTTGCTTGTGCACGCTCATCCATGTATGTCAAGCCGAGTCGTCTGGAAAAGCAGACATACTGGGAGAGCAAACTGTCAAGGCTGATCAGACCTGACTGTTTCTCTGTGTGTCTCCTTCTGTCTGACCTAATATAGCACCGAAGTGACAAGCTCACCCCTGTTTCGAACCACCTCAATAATCCAATTCCTAAAATGTCATCCACCATCCAGGCCCAGCAGAAGATGTCTTATAAAAACATAAAGCTCAGAACGCAGCCGGCTGCTGAAGGTTGAGACGAGTCCCAGGCAACTTTGACTTGACATTTCCCGTTTTGCTTTATCTGATTCGTTGAGATTTTCAGTACTTAGTTATTCCTCCAGCGATTTTAAAGTTCACTTATTTGCTTGCAAGTTGCTTTGCTACAGTCACACTGTGTAAGACAGGAGTTTAGGTATGAAAATGGCAGGAAAGGTTTTAAAGATGTGGGGCCTGTTTATTGACAGATGTCATGCAGAAATGATGAGCTAAGCCAGTGGGAGGAGGAGGCTGACTCAAGGCTTTTCTATTCTCTTCCTTCCTTCTTCCTTTTCTTTCCCAGGCCTAACAAATCTTGCATGATCGGAAGTTTTGCGAACAAATTCCTGATTGATAGGATATTTGTGCACAGATAAAACCGTATGAAGTTAGGTGTCATGGACTACACTAGTAACTCCAATACGTCAAGCACAAAAGAGCATAAAAGGACACTAGAGTGACCTTCTGTTGTAGAAAAGGCACATCTGCCTGATTGTGATTTCCCAGAGGGCTTGTTTCTAAGGAAATCTGCACAGTGACATTGTTAGAGATAAGGAAGCTGAAAATCAGGACTCATTGGTAGAGAGAACATCCTTTATTCAATACCACCTGCCATACCTGGCCTTTTATTGCTAACTGAATAGGGCTAGCTATGAGGGAAAGTGTAGACTCAAGAGAAAGAGCCTCCTCGTGCATTAGATTCCACAGACATTTTATTTCCAGATTTATTTCGTCTGTAGCTTTTGATTTAACAAAGGTTTTGAACCTTATATATATATATATATATATATATATATATATACATACATATATATATATATTTTTTTTTTTTACCACCATTTGTGTTCTAGTTTCTTATTAGGAACTGCTGATTAGGATTTCCTTATCTGCCTTTTTGTATAAAAGGTCTTTTAGAGGAACAGTTCCCTGGGGAATGGAAAGCTTCTCAGACTTATCTGCTTTTTAAATTTTGCCCAGTATTTGCTTGGCACCAGAAACCGGTTCGCAAAACAGATTAGGGAAATTCATATGTTTATTTTTGTTACTTCCTTCTGGCACACAGATTAAGACACAAAGCTGACTCATAAGATCGTTTGAATTATGTTACATATTTTTTTAACATAACCTCCAGCAAAATAACATATTTTTTTCCAAGCAAGTCAGAAAGTCAGATCTTTTCATCTGGAAAAATTGCCTCTGAGTGAGAAATGACTTTACACCAGAGATAATCATCCTGCCATTTGTTTGAGTAGTTCAAATCAGTTTAAGGGGGTTGGGGAGGGTGTCCTTGGGAACACAGCCATTTCCAAGGACTGTTTGTGTTGTAATTCCTTGTGTCTCTGGCTGTTGGAGGACTTGTGTGTGCATTTGAGCAGGTCAAGTTACTTCTGTGCTGTACTACTCTTCTTTATCA